CCAGACAGAGAGAACAGCAGGTCCCATCTGCTCATCACGGCACTCCAGCATCTTGGAGTGGCCAGGAAGCAGCAAGTGGGTAACCGTCCTTGGAATCACTGTTATTGTTGTGTGTAGAGAAGAGAATGTGCATGATAAGGGCCTGGCACGTGCGGGTGGTCACTAAACAGTGTTCTTATTCTTCCCTTAGTAAAGTAAAGCTTATGGTAGTTTTTTGAAGAGCTGCATAGCTACATTTAAAATTTCTCTGCTGTTAATTTAAACATGAATGTTTTTCTTTCTACTTTGGTACTTTATTCAACTATTTTTCCTATCAATAAAAGTTGTATCAAATAATCTTTAGATTCTGCTAAGCCTTTGTTTACTGAAATGTAGCAGTTTCCACAGTGTTCTGTTAATACTCAACATGACAGACTCCAAGGCTTCTTTTCATGCCAAGTATGTTATTTTAATATTAAAAACAATATCTGTCCTAAGAAACATTTTAAATTTATAGCACGTATACTTATTAAAGAATATATTTAAATATGCATATTTTTAGTTTTATTTTTTATTGAAGTGTAGTCAGTTTATAATGTTAGTTTCAAGTGTACTGCAAAGCAATTCAGTTATACATATAAAAATAAGTATTTTTGTAAATGTCCTCTTCTTTTGTCGAGGAATGCAAAATGGAATTAGGTGTTTTGAAGTTAATTCTTTGTTGAAATCTGCACGTAGGTCAGTATTTTGTCTATGAAAATATTTGGTCTGGCTTTCCATGCTCAGTTTACAGTGTCAAAAGCCAACTAAAGATAAAAGATAGACTTGATCTAGAGAGTGTATATGAAATTTTCTATTTAAATGTTTGGGTTTCCATGATATGCTTATTTTGTTTTTAAGCCTAATTGCTTTTAAAGTAGGAAATTAAAAAATAATAATAAGATAGGAAACAGGTATTTTCTTAGGGATCAGGAAATCTTTATGGAACTCATTATTAATATTAATTTTAACAGAGTACCTCCGAGATTCAACTACGGAAGCATGTTCATCATTTATCTGGAGCTGCAGGTCTAGGAGAAAAAAATACATTACATGGACAAATAGAAAGTAAGCACTATGTTTTATAAAAAAGTCGTTTGACAGAATGTTGATTTGAAACACGGGTTTGGATCTATTCTCTCAGCCAAAGAAAATCACCTGTTGAACGTATAGTGAGAAAAAAGCGGAGGAAAGGAAGTAAATTGTGTATGTTATCAGGTGTCAGCAACAGATTAAACTAGAATGCTGTTTAAGGAGCTCAGTTGTCAGCTTTCTTTCAAGATGCTCTGTGACCTGAGGACAGTCAGGAAATCAGGAAGAGGGAAGGAGAGAGCGAAGAATGAGAGAGGTAGAGAGGAGGGGAGTAAATGAAGGGAAAGGAGGGGGGGTCCCTGGCAGGAGGTGGTAATGAATGTAGAACAGTTCTTTAGAAGAAGGAAGAGGAGTGTTTGAAATGAGGCAGGTATGAAGTGAGCTGCTTCCAGCACCAAAGCTTGTCCGGGAAGCACAGCCGAATGTCCCACTCCCCCATCCCCCTGACCGTTAGGAAGGCAGTGAGGACTGCGGTACCTGATCACGCAGAGCTGGGTGTGCCTGCCGTGGGTGAGCACAGGCATGTGTGGTCAGCTGTCAATGTCTGGAGCTTCGCATCATGCAGCGTGCTGCTGCTTATAGGATGGTGTCTCATAGGCCAACAGAAGAGAGTGGGAAAGAGGAAGAGAGCAGGGTGCGTTCCGGGGAGGTCAGAGGCGCTGTGGAGCCTGGTAAAGAGTCCACTGAAAAGTGCAACTCCTGATGCAGCTTCTGGTTAAGTGTTACAGTGAGACACGTGCGGCTGGATTTCAGAAGGATCAGTTAAGTCCGAGTGCTGTAGAAGCAGACTCGGTATAGACCGGAGTTGCTCACATTTTACTCAGTCACCTGGGGACCCGGTGAAAAGTGCACATTCTGAGCAGTCGGTCTGCATTTCTAACAAGCTCTCAGGTGATGCCTTTGTTGCTGGTCTTTAGATCACGCTCGGAGGGTAGACTTGTGTTTAGGGGAATCTGGAAGAAGAGCCACTGGGGAGTTAAAGACAAAACAGCAGCAAGGAAAAGCATGATTTTGTTTTTCTTTCTGAGCACGTTCATAGCCAGAGCGAGGCAGAGAATTAAAGTAGAAATTAGAGATGTAAGCTACTGCTGCTAAGCAGAGAGGGAAAAGAAGTGGTGGGCATCATCCGTCCAAAGAATAGAGAAGGGGAAGAATTAAGACCGCAGATCTAGAGGTACCTTTGAAGAGGAAAGTGGAAAGAAGGAAGGAGGGGAAAAGGCCGCAGGTAGGTGAGTTTGGAATTGAGGGGAAACTTGAGAGAACTCCTTTTTGATGGCATCAGTCATATTTGCACTGAAGCCAGGTTAGATCACTGCCACTCCAGAGAATACTGCGGAATCAGGAGGGGGCCTAGAATTGGGGTAAACCACAGCCACTCCTCCTATCAGGCTTCAAAGATACATGTATTGGTATTTGTTATTCAAGTGAGATTAATTTGAATATGAAGCATTGGCTGTGTTGTTGTTGTTGTTGTTGTTGTTGTTGTTGTTTTTAATGATACCTAATTTTTTGATAAGATATTTGTTTCACAAAAATCCTTTTAAACATTAGCCTGATTTACCAAACCAATTTTGGAAATAAAAGAAATTAATAGGATTCATTCCATAAATGCTAAAGTTGTTATTTTCAGTGAGTACTACACAGGTTTTGAAATATAAAAGACTTTCAATGTCTAATAATTCTGTGGCAATGAAATTTTTTTTTGATCACCAGATTTCAGTATTGAAAACTCAGTATACATTCTTTCTTGCATGAGTGGATCAAGAAACTTTGACGGCTAGAGGATCCAAGAAATGTAGGCATACCAGTAGCCCACGTGGGTATAGGAAAAAGTGAATATTTTTCTGAACGATTATTCTACAAGTGTGTATCCAAGCTGATCAATTCATAACACTTTCTCTGACGAGAAGTGAACTGCACATTCAAATGAACTGCCATCACAACTGTGGACTTCCTAAATCACAGGACAAATTGAAGAGCATGATAAATACTTGTAGTCTAATGGTGTCAGTCGCATGAAAGATGTGCTGTTGCGTTTTACCGTCAGCTTTCACATTTGTCTTCTTGGAGCCGTGACTTGTTCCTCTGATTAAAGATCGCTTTTCTCCTCCTCAGGCAGCATGTTCACACTTGTATATGTGCACGTTTCTATTTTATAAAGTCATTTGAAACATAATCATACTTTTGAAATCTTAACTGCATGTTTTGTTAAACCTATATTCCTGTTCTTTATTGAGTATCTATAATGGATTCATATGTCTGTCTTGTTGCTGTCCTAACTGCCCCTGAAAAACAAAACACCGAAACCTAACGTGTTCATTTCCAAAGCAAGCATGAGGATTGTGCTCAGTACTAACCGCATGACTGGATAGTTGGCTTTCGTATTTACTTATAATCGATTATGTGTCCCTTTTGGCTTTTAGGTTCTACTGAGAAATATCCTCACCTGAAGGTAAAAACTTTTATACTTTTATCTTGAATTTTTTTTTTTAATGAGGGTACTGGGAATTTAGCCTAGGACCTCATGCACTGCTAAGCAGGCACTCTAGCACTGAGCTAGACCCTCCCCCCTTGAATTATTACTACAGATTGTATCAAATGTACATTATTAATCGGTTTGTTTCAAAAACCATTCAGCCTGCAGTTGGAGTGAAAGATTCTGTTCCTAAAAAAACGGGAGCAATGAAGAATTTACAAAGACTGAAATCAGGTAAATTATGCAATACAAATTTAACTATGAAATGAAGTAGTCTTCTTATTCCTAATTCCTTTTATTTTTTCAAATTTAATTGAAAGGTGACACAAGTAACGCAGATGTTACGATCGGTATCCACGTTTGAAAAATATACATAAGCATAAGAAATAGATTTTTAAAATGTCAGCTTTGACTTGGATGTTTTTGTTGATGTTGGGAGACACCAAAGTGCTCAGTTTGGAGTCCCTGTCCTTCTCAGGGATTCTGAGAGATTGATTATTAGGTTCTAAGATTTTTCCAGAGTTTTAAAATGCTTAATTGAATTCTGACCTTTACGTAGGGTAAAGCTTCACTTGCTAACATGTCAGTCATAGTTCACTTTAATTATTTCATCGAGTGCTATCACATTGATGGTATTAATTTATTTCTGTATTTATTTATTAATGGAGGTCCTAGGGAATGAACCCAGAACCTTGTGCATGCTAAGCATGTGCTCTACCACTGAGCTATTTCCCTAGCCCAAAGATCTTAAGCCAACTGGATGTTTTGATTAGGAGAGTG